ATTAAAATTTACCTCCAGATATCCCAAGGATTTCTGGATCACGCGCGATGAAGAGAAGTGTCAATTCTATATAATTGTCAGTTAAAATTGGCTTGGGAAATATTGTAATAATTTCATCTTCTTTCTTTCGAAGAAGAAGAAGAATTTAAGAGTAGTTCAACAACTTTAACTCGAGAAGAATAATTCAAGAATATCATTAAAAACTCAGTTCATGAAAATAGAAATTTCATCCCCAGCGAGACACGTTCAAAAGGGGAATAAATTCGAGGTTTACAGGCATCGTACTTTCAAATTTATCAAATTCTACGCGGTAATGAAACTCTGTCGTCGTAGTTCAAAAGGTGTGCTGATTGGAAGGCAAACGTAGGACAATCAGTGCGACTATTCGCCTTTTCTTCGAGGAACTCGGTAGCTTATTGAAGACCGACGTTCCTCAAAGACGATTCGCTACTTTCGTTGTCACTTTCATTCTTCAACGTGCTGCTTGCGAAGGCCTTACCATACATTTACACGCTAATTTCTGTTATTCATACTTTTACATACTATTATACTTTACACAAGTCGATAAGTAGAGAAAATTGATACAACCTCGCAATTTTCTTCTCTATTCCTCTAAACGACAATTGACGATTATAACGTTGATTCGTTTGTTGCTCGACTTCATCGAACTTTTCTATTTTTCTCTTTTTTTTTTAATTCTAATCGTTGAGATAAGTATATTCATTTATTTCGTCTGTCTCGAAGGTTCGATCAAGTCGAGCAATGATCACGATTTTACGAAGTCAATGATCATCATTAGATTAAGCGAACAGTGTTGGGTAAGATAGTATTTGAAATAGAAAATATTTACATAGATTATTTTTCACACATTGGTTAATTTGAAGTATCCTATCTGTTTTTTTGTATCGATTGAAATATTTATTTGATTTTAAAAGTACAATCTTTGATCATTAAATTACGATCACTCTTCATTGTGTTATATATGGTTTATATATGTCTTTATTTGAAAGACTTCAACATAATTTAATAGTCAATTTTATTGACCATCAAAGTATATAATATGTTAATAAATTCAATAAAAACTCAGAGTCTGTAATGTAACACATGTGTAGATATATAATATAAGAATTATTAATTTTTGTAATTAACCTATTAAAAATCAAAGTTATATTAACTTCAACACTTCAGAGCAAAATATGTGTATATTTGTTCTTTTGCAATCCTTTTCTTTTTCAAATTGTTTCGGAATAATACTTGAAATAATCAATCCATAATTTAATAGTATTTTAGTAGTTTCAATTAACTTTCATAAATTCCTATTCGCACGTGTTTCAAATAAATATTTCCAGTATGCATCACTCGTCAAATGAAACAAATTTTCAAACACTATCTTATTTCAGCAGAAGTATTTCACTTATTATTTCCAATACTTTCTACTTGAAGCCTGCTCAACACTGACAGTCAAACGATGTTTTATTCATATTCTCTTCGTCTCTGTGCGTATGCAAGAATTTTTCAAATAAACTACTCGACCTGTAACAATATTTCAAACTCGATTAAGCCAGTAGATTCTCCGTAATCACGCAACATTAAAACGTCATGAAACATTCAATATTAATTTCCACGCACGATTCATGTCCAAGTTTTAATACCTCAAATAATTGAATTTCATAACCTATTACACCGACGTTTCACTAAAAAAAAGTAAATCGGTCCGAGATGCACCAATAAATCACCGAAATACGGTTCGATTTCTCGCGAGACACCATTTTGAGAGTCTTCGTATTAATTCGATCCGCGTCTTCTTTCACACAACGTACGTTCACAAGCGAAAAATCGAAATAACGGAATGAGATATCGAGCAGGCGAACGAAGAAAGAACGAAGAAGAGACTGTGTTCAACCGTGAGCCTCGAGAGGAGTTCATTGTTCTTTTTTCTTTTTTCCATCATTATTGGATCGATCTTTCTTATTGTTAGTCACGGATCGAATGGACTCCTTCGCGAAGATGTGGAAGGATTATCGTTAATAAGATACTTGTGGAGCAGTCTTTATTACGGAGACGTATCGTCCAAGTAGTTTGTCTTTGGCACGGCAATTATCCGCTTCTCCTTCGTTGAAATCATCGATGTTAATCAAACAAGCTTCACTTCGTTTTTTTTTCTTTTCGTTGAATTTCCAAGCCGTTCCAATCGAATTTTCACGCGATGTTTCAAGTGCGCAGAAGTAGAAAATTTGATTTCACTTTCGTTTCGTTGGATTCACGTGTTAATTATCGTTTAATTAAATGACGTACGATTTTTGAAATGTGATAGAATTTTTATACACGGGTAAAGAAATTTACTTCTTTAGTTATACATTAGTCAATCAAATTTCACACGTAATAATTTTTTTTCAAGTAATAATACTTTACGTAGAAGTAAATAATTGTTCTTTCGTCTTCGCGTAGATTTTATGTATCAATATATATCCAGTTAAACTTCACATAAGTTTTTGAATGATAATATTCTGCATAAAGCTACGAGTGAAAATTATTACTTTCAGTCCTCTTTTCTTTTCTTTTGAATTCATTTACCAATGCTGCATAATCAACTTAATGATCATTCGAATGATACGATACTCTGCAGAAAGGTAAACAAATTTTACTTTATTCGATTTATATACTAATGTTGTTTAATTAAATGTCACCAGCGAGAATTCAATTACGAACATTAATCTGTCCTCATATCGTTGAATTCACTCAGCAATATTGTAACATTTAAACAAATTTCGCACGATCTTCCAAGTACTTTGTGCAGAAATGAAAGACGTTACTTCTTCTGTCAAATCTAATTTATACACCAATTGTTATTTAATTAAACCTCACACGAGCTTCTAAGTGATCTTCTAAGTGATGTTCTGTACAGAAACAACACGACACTTCTACCGAGAGGGAATTCTATTCTTCTTCCTGCATTTGTCAACTGATCGACAACTCGGCCATTTTCTCGGTTACCGCATTGTCGCGCTCTCTCGATCCGCTCTGAAAAATCAACGACATCTGCGCGCAATGCTCAAAGTTAACTGCTACAACGAAAGAACTGGAACCAGACGGACAGAGCGGAACAATTATAGTTCAGCTGATACTCTGGGCCATTATAATACGATTTTTTCCCCTTAATATCGATCTTCTTCGTTCTCTTCTCGCACCGCGTGATAGAAGAGGGAAAAACGCAAGAGACCGATCGTATCCAATCTTCGTTATCTTCGTTCTCTTCTCGCACCGTTGATGATCCTATTGGTCATTGGTCACCGGGTGAAAGAAAAGAGAAAAAGCAGGAGGCCGTTCTTGGCCGTTGAGAGGTCGTTTCCATTTTGTTCACAATTGTTATCGTCGTTCTCTCGAATACGCACACGTATCTCTTACACCTGTGTCAACAGCGTCAACTGCGTTCCATTCTTCATCGCGTCTTTCTCCCTCTGCACCTGATCTCTCGGATCGTTGCCGATGGTAATGTTCGATCGTGACGTCATGGTCACGGTGGTCGTGGAAGTTTTGCTGATCAACAGCCCTCTCTCCGCGTCCTCGTCCTCGAGCTCCAACCTCGACTGGCAGGAGACGGCCAATCGATTCGATTGTAGCCTCTCGGCGTTCGCCTTGTTCCTTCGCGGGAACACGCTGTTCTCGATGTGCAACGTGGCGTTCACGTCTTTCCCGGCAGCGCAGGTGCACGCCTTCAGGAAGCTCTTCTTGAAGTTGTCGCTGAGGAACGCGTAGAGGATCGGGTTCATCGCGCTGTTGCTGTAGCTGAGGAAACCGGCGAGCAGAAAGCTGGTGATGGTGATCTTGCTCTGGCACTGCTTCGGCGGTGTGTAGATCAATGCGACTTGCATGAGCCAGTAGGGCAGCCAGCACAATACGTACACGGTGATCACGGTCAGCACGAGTTTCGTCACCTTGCGGTGAGACCGTTTCTTTTCCTTCGATTTGTTCTTCGGGCCGACGGTCTGCAGTTTCCTTATCACCAGGAAGTAGAAGATCAGTATGAGGGTGAGCGGTATGGCGAAGCCCAGGATGAACGTGTACAAGGTGAAGGTGGTGTGACCTCCGCGATCGTTCGGCCAGTAGATGTTGCAGTTGATCCCCTTTTCCGACTCCATCGCGTTCGCGTACAGAATGATCGGGATCATGAAGAGGGCGCTGGCGGCCCAGGCGGTTAGAGAGACCACCTTCGAGATCAACGGCGTGCGGATCTTCGGCGAGGAGATCGGGTGACAGACGGCGATGTAACGATCGGCGCTCATTATGAAGAGGAAGATGCTGCTGGTGAACTGGTTGATGCTGGTCGTCGTCATGTACGCTTTGCACATGATCTTGCCGAATATCCAACTGCGCAGGCTCATCGTGGTCACCAGGAAGGGTATCCCTATTAGGAAACACTCGTCGGCTATAGCCAAGTTCACGATGTACATGTTCGTCACCGTTTGCATCTTCGAGAATCGCAGCACCACGTAGATCACCAGCGTGTTCCCGAGGAGACCGACGATGCAAACGATGGAGTAGAGGATCTGATTGACCAGCGAGACGATCGGCAGATCGGCCTCGCAGTTCTGGATCATCGAGTCCTCCTGGCTCATCTTGCAAGCGTAGTCGATCGCGCTCGTGGTCGTCTCGCAGCTTATTATCGTCGTGTTCATTTTGCCTTCGATTCCTCGTTCAACGAGCGATCTCCGTCCTTTCTTCCTCTCTTCCTCTCTTCCTCTCTTCTCGCTCGAAGAGTCTCCTTGCGGAGATTTTTCACGCGATGGACTTGGATGGGTGATTGGTTCGAGAGATTCAACTGCGATCACTCGCCACGAAACGAGATTATCTCTCTCTCTGGTCTACGAGACAGACACGAACGTCGGATGCCCTTTGAGAGTTAAATGCGTGTTCTTCGTATTCTATCGAGGATTGAGAGATAGAAGGAGGACAGTTTTGTCGATGGCGACGATACGAGGAACGAGGCCGACGTCATTCCATCAGCCGAGGAACGATCGCGCTTCCGGGCACGTGATAACCCGGAAACCACCGCCAAACGCTCGCTTTTGCCTGTTTCCTTCCAGAGGGGATCTGAAACAAAACAGAAGACAAGTTAAATCTTTAAGATTTCGTTGACTTCACGAGGTTCTACAGGTAAATTGACAATTTCCCTTTGGATGGATGGATTCGGGGTTTTTATATGGCCCTGAGGACCTTTCGAAATAATGTAATTTTGTTCTGAGAAGTTTTATCAACGAAGAAAATATTTAACTGGTCTGTCTTCTAAACTATCGGGGCCCAATCATAATGTTAAGAATACATAAATGTCTTTAAGCTGTGAACTATGGCTAGGAGAAATAACGACGAAGAAGACATCTTGGAATTCTGTTTCCAATAATTACAATGTTAAAAAGAATATTCGACGGTGGACAAAGTGATTGAAAAAAATATTGCAAATGAAACGTCCAATGACTTAATCTTTCTCGTGGACTTTTTTTATGTACAAACTCGTGCAGTATGCAGAAATATCCCTAGCACAGCACTCTTCTCTAATAGTACGATAATTAACGGACAGAAAAAAAAATTCCTATTTACATTTACTGATAAAAATCTGAAATTGCGTAAGATTTTGCAATCTCTCCGCGATACGCTGCATGTTTTTCTTTTCTTTTTTTCGACTGCAATAATGTTAAACAAATAGATAAATAAAATGTTACAGGACAAATATTACAAACAAATATTATTTTCTGTCACATGAAATAATTCGAGACGCGAGAAATAATACTCCACTCAAAGCGTCGTACGAACGATATTGTATTGCGAGATAACTCGTCTAAAGCGTCGCATGAATAACATTGAATTGTGAAATATTTTATTAAAAGCGTCGTGTGAATGGCATTGTGTTGTAGAATATCTCGTACAAAGCGAATCATGAACGACATTTCGTGACGGGATATTTCTTTTATACGTGTGAAGGGGTTAATCCTTTGTTGTCCAGACTATAAAAATCAGAAGGTATAACTTCAATTTTTTCCCTGTTGTATATCTTCGATATTGCAATAAACGCTGATAATAATACTTATTATTGTCGTATACTTTCTCACTGAGATTACTGTGTATTTTTGATAGAATTCAATTTCACTGAGAAATTTCCTTCGGAATCTGATAAATTCCATTCTTGGATTAAAGTGTAATAGAACTACGCCGAAAGAAATCGTAGATCTTCACTATAAAGGGGAGATCTTCGCCGAAAAAAAAAAATCGTATTAAAACGAATATGGCAGATTTGTGAAATTTTTAAAAGATATTAAAGCGGAGACGCTGAAGCAGAGATTCCGCACTTTAAAATATTAAGATGCCCTACAATCTTTCCACGCAAAGTTACAAGAGCACGAAAATGAATATTTTTACGATACAATGTTCCAATTGTGATTTAGCGTCTCTGTATTTTATAATTTCCTACAAATGCATAGGAAAATCTGCACATATTTCTATGTACGTACATCTACATATCTGTGATACATCTATATATACATACGTGTGTGTATAAATATATGTGTATGTTTATACATATAATATCTCGCATTGTTTGTCAAATCCATAGTTAAATTAACCTCCACTAGCTATGGATACCAAATTGCTCATATTATTCCCCAGTAAGCATGCGAATATCCTTCGTATTCGAACATCCTTCGTAATTAATTAATTAACCGTACGTCTGCACGGTAATATGCACACGCGCGTGCATCGCATTGTAAACAGGCGTTGGTTTTGTTATCGCGTGTAACGATCTCTCTACAGTCGAAATTTCGAAAGCTTTTCGCATCGTGTCTGTTGGCCAACGCAATTGGCAAAGGGACATCAAATTGAATAAATACGCGCATGTAAATTGAGAGACCGAAAACAGCGCAGTATACTAATTAATTCTATACTGCCAATTAAATAGAAACAGGCTGCATTGTCGTATTTTACCTAAGATTGCCCAGCAATGTAACTGTTGATTCAGTTGCTGAAACATTATTACGTATTCAGAGTACTTTGGAGCATTTGAACATCGAATATTCGTGCTAGTACTCTATTATTTGAAGTATTTCAGGAAATATTCATTTTCGTCATTCCGTAATAATTTTCCATTCAATGCTACGCGAACGATCGATTTCATGAAAAAGAAGAGAAATGGAGTTGTGTTTGAGAAACAAGTGCTCGTTTTAATTTGCATCGATGCACCTTATGCGATCACGGAACTTCTTGAACAATGGAAAATCCTTCTGTATAATTTTTTTCTACTTTCAACAGGAACAGAGTTGCAGTTATTGCGTTTATCTTGTGTATATATCATTCCAATTAAATAAGCTAACTATAGTGTCGTTCTGCAGTTCTTGTGCAAATTCTTGGAGAGTTGAAGATTTTAAAAGATCTAGTCTGAAATCGGTTTTCTTCTGATGATAATTTCGCATATTTTTATATGAAGATTCTTATATAGAGTATGGAATATTTTATTTTATTCGTCGGTGATATAACATGTGAGGCGACTTTCATATTACGATCGACAATTCTTCGATAACACTACTAATAATGTATTAGAAAATCTCATAGTAAATTGTAG